GGTGGATCCTCGGGGCCTGGGAATGCTCAGTCCCTGCTTCTAACCTTGTGGAGCCCAGATGGAAGCTGCAGAGTCAGCGCTCTGCCTCCGAGCCCCACCTGGCCCCCGGGTCAGCTGTGAGGATGAGGGAAGGGGCCTGTCAGGCCTTGGCCGCAATTCTCTTCCTTCAACAGTGCCCACCTGCAGTGCGCCCCCAAATCACTGTCAGTTCAGTAGGTGCAGAGATTCCATCACAAACAGACTCAGGATTCAGAGAGTGCTGAGGGTGTGGACAGGAAGGGAGCGGGAAGGGAGGGAGGGAGAGTCACGGAGCCCTGGGAGGGCACAGGGACCCGTCCAAGACCTATTCCCTGAGGCCTCAGTATCTGGAGGCTACTCTGCCTGCCTATCCTTCCCTCCCTCCCTTTTTCCTTCCCTCCTCCCTCCCTCCCTCCCTCTCTCCTTCCCTCCCTCCCTCCCTCTCTCCCTCCCTCCCTCCCTCCCTCCCTCTCTCCCTCCCTCCCTCCCTCCCTCCCTCCCTCCCTCCCTCTCTCCCTCCCTCCCTCCTTCCTTCTTTCCCTCCTTCCCTCCTGTCTTCCTGTCTTTCTCCCTCCCTCCTTCCTTCTCTTCCCTCCCTCCCTCCCTCCCTCCCTCCCTTTTTCCTTCCTTCCTCCCTTCCTTCCCCACACCCTGTGGTACTCGGGGCCACTCAGGTGCAGTGCTCAGGGGAGACATGTGACACACAGGATTGAATCTGGGCCTCCTGCACACAGAGACTGCACTCCAGCCTGGGGACTGCTCCATCGCCACCCTCCTCCTCCTCCCCGAAAGTCTGGCCCTGCAGAGAATTTGCAGTATAAAGTGGACTTCTTTCTGCTGAACGGTTCATTCCGGGCAGGGCTTCATAGGCAAGGCAGGAGGGGCCATTCTCTCTGTCCTCTCCCTTCCCTGTGGCGGTGCGGGCTTCCAGGGTCCACACAGCCCAGCTGCAGGGTGTGAACCACCCTTACATCTGCTCTTCTCTTCCCAGAAGCCCTACTCAGTGTGGGAGGGCCGCGATGTGTCTCCGGTGGGGGGTGGACAGAGCATGCTGGATTTGACGCCCAAGATAGCAAAAAGGAAGAAGGAAGAAGGAAGGGGGACGAAGCACGGGAGGAGGGGGAGGAGAAAAGGGAGAGGGAATAGAAGATGGAGAAGAAAAGGAAGAGGATTGGGGCTGGAGTGATAGCACAGTGGGTAGGGCGTTCGATTCCGGGAATCACGCCCGGGTTCGATTCCCAGCATCCCATATGGTTCCCCGAGCACCGCCAGGAGTAATTCCTGAGTGAAGAGCCAGGAGTGAACCCTGTGCATTGCTGAGTGTGACCCAAAAAGAAAGAAAAAGTGAGAGAAGGAGGATCAGGAGGAGGAGAAAGAGGAGGTGGAGCAGGAGGAGGAAGAGGAGAGGGAGGAGGGATAGAGGGAGGAGGAGGGGGAGGGGGAGGGGCACAGGACCACAGGACGGGCAGAGGGGACAGTCTCTTGCAGGCAGCTGCCCGGCTCCCTGACCACCCTGCAGGGACTCGGGGCCTGGGTGCTCCAGCCCCTTGCTCTGGGTTTCCTTGCTGCACCCCTTAGCCTTTTCTCGCCGGTCACAGACCCTCTGTCCCGTGCACACCGGCTCTCACTGCCGTCAAGGGGATGTGCGGGGCGAGGAGGCCTGACCCGCAGCACCAGCACTCCTGGGGAGTCCCAGAAATGCACGTCCTCGGCCGGCGGGCTGGCCGTGCATCAGCCCCGCATGAGACCAGACTCCAGGGTGGCCCTCGTCTGTGGCAAGCCCCCCAGGTGGTCGTGGGGCGCTGAGTCATGCAGCGGCCTCTGGGCTGGCACAGGGGGGATGGAGCCCACCAGAGTGGACAGCTGTGAAGACAGGCTTCGGGGTCTAAGAATAACTGTCAGAGCTGGAATCACAGCACGATCGTCCAGGTTCCCATGTGGAGATCTGGGAACTGAGGAGGAGTGGGGGAAAGAATTTGCTGGGCGAGTAGCAAACTTGAAACACAAATTCGAGGCCCCGGGGTGCCCAGAGGATGGATGTATTGTTCCTGATACTGCGAACTGGAATAGTTCTTAAAAAAAAATTGAAGAATTGGGGCTAGACAGTATAGCAGGTAGGTGGGATGCTTGCCTTGTACGTGGCCGACCGGGGTTCCATCCCCAGCACTTCGTTAGGTCCCCTGAACCTCACCAGGAGCACAGAGCCAGGAGTCAGCCCTGAGGACAGTCGGGTGTGGCCCCCAAATAAAAAATGATAGCAGGAGTGATCCCAGGGATAAGCTCCCTCTTGTCCAGGTTGAGGGATATGAATAATAGGTGTGTATGTGTGTGAGAGTGTGTGTGTGTGTGTGTGTGTGCACATGTGTGAGTGTGCACGTGTGTGTGTGTGTGTGTGCACTCAACAATGCCAAACATCCCCTAGGGAGGCCTGGTGGCCACTGACGCGGTAAAAGTCTGGCCCAGGGTGATTTCATTTCCTCTCTCTCATTTAGCACTAGTAGCGCGCGCTGACTGCTTCGGCAGGACACAGCTCTCTGGAACCAGGCAGAACTTCCTCACCCAAAGCAAGCTCTTGGTGGCAGCGCTGGGCGGCTGGACAGTCCTTCCTGCCCCTTAGAGGTGCCCCGCCCTGGGCTGAGTGTTTCCTCAGTGGGATCCTCTGGTCTACACAACTCTGTCAGGGAGGCACCTTAGTCAGCAGCTTGTAGGAGCAGGGGCAAAGCCTCAAAGTTCAGGGGGCACGAGATGGGCGGGTGGGACCAGGAGAGCTGAGTGTCTGATGAGGCACAGAGCAGAATCCCCACAGGTTGCTCGTGTCTGGGAGATGGCACTGTGTGTGGGGATGGGTGAGGCAGGGGAGAGGCCTGGGGCAGGGGGCTTGGGAGAGGGGCCCTGGAGCGCCCTGACGTCTTTGGTACAGAGTGGGGGTGCCCGTGAGCGGCTGTCTGCACAACCCTGCGTCCAGCAGCCAGCTGTACGACTCAGGTGTGGGGGTGTCCTCTGAGACACATGGCAGGAACCTGCATCCCCCTCTGCACTGGGCGGAGGAGGGGCACTGGGGACCTCCCCAGCCTGGAGAAGGGCTGGGGGGGCGCCCCTAGCTGGAGGCTCAGACGGTCTCCAACTCAGGCTCACAGCCAACTGTGGGATGTGCCATTAGGGGCGGGCAGAGGAGGCCGTCAGGGTGGCCTCCGACACATTGATGAACTAGAATCGGAGCCTTGGCAGGTGTGGGGTGGTCTGGCTTTATTTAGAGAAACAAAGGCACCTGGGCTTTGGCCCTTGTGCAGACAAAGGCAGGTCACAGTTCCAGAGACTCTCAGGACCCAGCACGCTGGCCTGGGGGCCACCCCGTACAGGTCACACTGCATAATTCTCTCTTAAAAGATCATCAGAGAAGGTGGAGACAAATCACCGGCCTCCCCACCCCCCCCACGCCCCCGAGGCTGGGCCTCTGGCCCGAGGATGCTGCAGCACAGCGCCTGGAGGGCGGGATCCGGCCTTTCGCCCACAGGTGGGGGCGCAGCACTGGAACCGGCCTGTCATCGTGTCCCCAAGGCCCCCGCAGACTGGGCTGCAAATAGCTCCGGCCCACGCGGCTCCCGGGCTGCTGATGGAAGGGGGGGGGGGGCTCCTATTTTCTTCTCTTTCTTCTTCACTTCTTTCAGGGAGCACATGCAGAGCCAGAGCGGCCACTTCCGGAAACGGTCTCTGGCCCTTGCTGGGGACTGTCCCCAAGGTCAGGCCAGAGGACTCCTGCTCGGGCGTGAGTGGACCTGGGGCTCAGTCTGTGAGTGCTGGGGAAGGAGACCCCCATTCCCCTGAGCAGAAGCCCCCCATCCTAGCTCTCAGCAGGCCTCCTGCTGCCTGCCGGCTTCCCCCCTCACCCTGCTCTAACCCTGGCACTGAGCCCTGCAATGTGGGGGCGCGGGGGTGGGGGCCGCTCTGACACAGGTGGGGCCGCACTGTGGTGGGAAAGGGCCAGCTGTGAGGGGGGCTACAGAGGGCGCAGCTCGGAGTGAGTGGGGGTCCCAGCTGCTGGAGCAGCGGCCTTCTCAGGGGGCCCCTCCCAACCCCGCCACTTGTGGGGCTGCCCTCTTCGCAACAGGTCAGAGCTAGGAAAAGTTTCAAACCCCCAGACTGGCATTCAGCACCCCCAGCCCTGGCACCCCGACCTGATGAACATTCTTATTGGGGAGCCCTTGGCCTGAAGAACGCTGGGAGGTTCCCTGCCTGCGCACCCTCAGCCCTGTGCTGGTCTCTATGCCCTCCGCAGCCCAACCCCACGTCCAGTGCTCTGTGCCAGGCCAGGCCATGGAATTCAGGGCCGAGAGTGGCCTGGGCCAGCAGGCAGGACTCCCAGAGGAAGGCTGGAAGGTGGGTCCAAAGCACAGAGGTGCCGGGAGCCGGCAGGAGGGGGTCTGCGCAGCGCCCTTCTTGGGGGGGTGTGGGAGCTGCCGGGAGGGGCACGGCAGACTGTGCCCCCTCCCTGGACCCTCCTGGGGTGCAGGCGGTGTGGCAGGGCCAGCCACGGCAGAGAGGCCCGTGTGGGAAGCGGGGGCTCTTCCCGTTGCCTTGGTAACTGGCCTTTTGTGAACCCCAACCAGGGAAGACTCCGTGTGGGGGTGGGGGTGGGGGCCACCGCTCTGCTGGGAAGCGGCTGTGCCCGGCTGTGGGTGGGGTGTGACTCGGCAGCTGCCAGCCCCGCGCCTCAGGTAGCTACAGGGACAGGTGGCACCCGGGAGGCAGAGGCTGGCGTCGCGGGGGAGAGGGGCCGCTCAGGGCCAAGGCGGGGGACGTGGACAGGGACAATCATCGTCGGGGGATGCGGGCATTCATCATTGTGCTTCCAGTTTGCAGCCAGGGCAGGAAGTGCGGGGCTGGAGTCCAGGCTCAGACGCTCCACCCGCCCCCCCCCCCCGCCAGCCCCCTCCCCGCCTGCTTTTGTCTCCACGTAGCCCCTCGGGGATTCATTGCAGAGGTCTCTGAGGGGGGCTCCTTTCCGGGGTGCCTCAGAGCCAGGGCTGGAGCAGGTGGGCCGAGAGGGACAGTGGAAGCAGCAGGAGCAGGGAGACCCCCGAGGCGGTGACGGCTGTGAGATCAAACGGGGAGGTGGACACATTAAGGGCCCTCAGCCCAGCCGCCCACCTCCAGCCTCCTGTGGGGTCCCGCAGGAGCGCATCTCAGCCTCCTTCTCGCTCCCTAATTACCACCTTCTCTTCCCTGCGCCTCTCCCTGTGCGCTCCTTCCCAGATTCTTGCTCCATGTGGGTTATGCAGTCGCCTCGCTCTCCCCGGGACTATTTTTAGCCCTCATTTCACTCCTCGTTTGGGCTCCACAGCCGGGACTCCCCACCGCCTTCCGGCGGAGGGCTTGGAGGCTGCCCCCATCTCACCCCGATCAGAACAAAGCCAGGGCGGGTGACACCAGAGGCCCGTGGGTCCACTGGGAACGGGGCCAGGATTGGCTGGGCACCCCCCCGCTTCCCTCACGGGGGTAGGAGTTTGTTCCCCCCAGGGTGCACCCCAAGCCGGGCCCTACCTGTGTCAGAGCACTGTTGAGAGAGCATCCCCTCCAAGGCAGCTATGTAGTCGCGACCCAGCCAGTCCCCGTACGTGGTTTTCTCCCCGACTGGCACCACCTGTACCGTGGCATCCTTGAAGAGGAGGTCGCGGCCGTGGTAGCTGGAGGAGTCGAACATTTTGAAGCCATTCTCGTTGTGGTCATCTCCGAACAGGGCCTGCAAGGAGCCGGTGGAGAGCCACGTTCCCCTGGGCTCCTTGTGCTGGTCATGGATTTCCATGCCCTCAGCGGGCGTTGAGGGAACACAGGGGCCAGGCTCCGAGGGAAGATCCTAAGCTGCATCACTCACCCACCTCTGTCACCCAGGGGGGCTGCGAGGAGTCCCGACACGGCGCATTGTCAGGTCCAGGGGTCAAGGCTGGAGCTGACCCTGGTGCGATCCCCCGGCTCTGCATATGTCCCCCTGACCACCACCCGCAGTGATCCCCGAGCACAGATCCAGAAGGGCTCCACCGGATGACACAAAACTGATCACTCAGGGGCTGGAGCAATAGCACAGTGGGTAGGGCGTTTGCCTTGCATGTGGCCGACCTGGGTTCGATTTCCAGCACCCCATATGATCCCCCAAGCACCGCCAGGAGTGATTCCTGAGTGCAGAGCCAGGAGTAACCCCTGAGCATCAGCTGGGTGTGACCCAAAAAGCAAAAACAAAATAAAATAAAATAAAATGATCACTCAGAAGCCACCCGCCTGCCAGTGTTTGGATGTGAGCTGGAGTGGGGGTCCAGGAAGCGAGAGCCCAGGGGAGTGCGGACATGGGGGAGGCCTGGGGGGTTGTTAGATCTTCACAGCCTTTTCTCTCACTGCTTCTGGAGATCCCTTGGGGGAGGGGGTATAAGTCCAGTGACAGCCTGAAAGAGCCACTCGGAAAGGCCAGCTGTGGGCTGGGGCTGTGCCTTCCAGGCAGAAACTCAGACTTGGCCTGCATGAAGCCTGCCTGGGTTTCACCTCAGGCACCAACAAAACAACATAAAACAGAAGCAGATTGGGAAATTACAAATACATTCATAAATCGGGGCCAGAGCAATAGTATAGCTGGAAGGACATTTGCCTTGCATGCAGCCAACCCGGGTTCGATTCCCAACATCCCTTATGGTCCCCAAGTGCCACCAGGAGTAATTCCTGAGTATATACCAAGAATAACCCCTAAGCATTGCTAGGTGTGACCCAAAAAGAAAAAAAAATTCATGATTTTCACCTATCCTCAGAAGACTACCTGCTGTACTGTCGCTCTGGCCCCCATGAACTTCTTGAGGTTCAGATGAAAACTGTCAGCTTTCTCCTCAGGAAAATGCATGACTACATTTTGTGGAGGTTTGCTCCCCCACCTCAGGCGAGTGAGTCAAGGGCCACACACAGTTTCAGAGGCAACAAGTGCTCGGGCCAGTTGGTTTTGTAATTCTGTGGCTCTCTGGGAGGAGGGAGGGCGAGTTCAGGCTAAAATTGTATGCGGGGGAGAATTATGGAATTATGGGGAGGGCAGTTCCTCCAGGCACCGGGGGTCCCGCTAGATGGGAGAGCCAGAGATGCAGTACATCGGGGAAGGGACCTGTCTCGCACACATCCGACCCTGGCTTGGTGCCTGGCACCATCTGGCCCATGAGCCTCACAGCACCACATCCTCAGGCAAGTGTACGAAACCACTGGTCTGGCTGCCATGAGCCACCAGGAGTGACCCCCAAGACTCCTGAACAGATCCAGAAAAACAAATGAGGTTGAGGCGGTCGTACAGCAAGTAGAAGGCTTGCCTGGCAGGAGGCAGACCTGGGTTTGATCTCTGGCATCCCATGAGCACCGCCAGGAGTGATCCCTGAGTGAAGAGCCAGGAGTAACCCCCGAGCATCGCTGGGTGTGACCCCAAAACAAAAACAAAAAAAGCAAATTCCAGATGCGTTTTGAAAGAGCAGCCAGCAGGAATGATGGAGGTGGGGGGAGTGGGCGCCCGCGGTGATTCTGAGCCATCTCCTAGGCCCCTAATTTGTTTCCTAAAGATGCAGTGAGGACAGTGTGATTGAGAATAGTCCCCGTGAGAAGGAAAGATTAACCAGCAGGAAGGCGGTTTAAGGGTCTCCTGGGCTGGTTGGAAATTAGCAACTCTCCTCCCAGGTGTGTGGTTCATTTGTTTGGGTTTTGGGCCACACCCAGCTGTGCTCAGGGCTGACTCCTGACTGTGCTCAGGGATCACTCCTGGTTCTGTGCTCAGAGCTGACTCTTGGTGGTGCTCAGGGGAACCACATGGGGTGCTAGGGATGGAACCCGGGTCACAGAGTGTGCCAGGCAAGTGCCTTAACCCCTGTACTCCCTCAGTTTTGGCTGTGGTCAGCCTCAGGGGGGCAGAGGCACCCGCTCCCTGCCGTCACCCACCTGGGCCTTGTCCAGCAGGCCGTACACAGTGAAGATGTTGGTGTCGGGCCGGACCATGATGGCGTGGGCCGGAATCTGGGCCAGGTTGCAGTCTGAGAACTGGAACACCTCGGCCCGTGCTCCATTGGGACACAGCAGCTCATAGTTCTCGGCCCTCAGCTTGGCAGCCCAAGGCTCAGGGTTGTGGCCTGAGAGTCAGAAGGGAGAGGGGGTGGCTCAGGGTGAGGCCATGCTTCTGCAGGGCCCCCAAATGCTTGAGTGGGGCAAGTGGCATGGTGGGGCCCTGTCCCCATCTGGCTGGGAATGGGGGCGGGGGTGGTGGTGGAGGAGCATCTCTCTGGAACGATTTTCAAGCAGGTGAAGAAACGGAAGCTCTAAAGAACCCCGTCTGCTCCAGAGGCTGGGGGGCGGGGAGTAGGATGTGATGGGATTCTTTGCATTTGCTTTGTTTTTGATTGGGGGGGCACACCCAGCAGTGCTCAGGGCTTACTCCTGGCTCTGCACTCGGGGATCCCTCCTATGGGGATGCTGGGGATTGAACCAGGGCCCACACACGCAAGGTAAGTGTCCTACCCACTGAACTATCACTCTGGCCCCCAGGGGATGGCTGAGATCCTGAAGGTGGGGCTGACCTTCTCCCTCACAGGGGTCTTTCCCCAGGGGAGGGGGTCTAGCAATGGCCGCCTCAGAGGGTGTTCAAAGGGCCCTTGTGTGCAAACAATCTCATCTGGCAGACTCAGGGTGCGGCCCAGGCTTTGAATTTCATTTTTGTTTTATTTCTCTTATATTGGGGGTGGGTGGGTTACCCCCAGCGGTGCTTAGGGGTCACTCCCAGTGGTGCTCAGGAAGCATATGGTGCCAGGGATGGAGCCCAGGCCCCCCCATGTGCAGACCACGGGCTCACTCAGTAAGCCGGTTGCACTTTTTTGAGGGTTGTTTTTTGAGCCACACCCAGCAATGCTCAGGGCTTACTTCTGTCTCTGGGATCACTCCTGGTGGGGCTTGGGAGCACCATATGGGGTGCGGGGGATTGAACCCGGGTCAGCTGCATGCAAGGTAAGCGCCCTGCCGAGTGCCTATCACTCAGGTTCGCCACCTGCATTTTAAATCAGTCTCCCAGGGGGTTGGAGGGAGAGCAATGGGGATACGGTGTTTGCCTTGCACAGGCCCACCCAGTTCAATCTCCACCACCACGTATGGTCCCCGAGCACCACCAGGAGTCAGCACCCTTACACTGCCTCTCCACACTCCAATCAACCTCCTGGGGACTCGGAAGCTGGAGGTTGGCCCAGAGGAGCTTCTTGGAAACACTCCTCTTGGGACTCCCGTGAGTGTGGTGTGTGTGCTTAGAATCTACACCTTCCAGTTTCCAGAAGGAACTCCAAGTGGGGACATCAGTGTGGAGCACCCGGCAGTGCTCAGGGCTTGTGCCTGCCTCCACCTCAGGGCGGGGCTGGGGGTTCCGGGTGTGGTGCTGGGGATTCTGCAACGGTCAGTCGCCCGAGAGGCAAGTGCTCACCCCCCCCCCCCCCACGCCCATCTCTCCAGACCCTACGCGGAGTTACTATAATCAGTGGAGCAGGGCGGGGGCTTCCCTCCAGACCAGGCATGGCGACAGCTCTGCTGGCCCTGGTCGTCCTGGGGGTAAGATCCCTCCCCCAAAGGCAGAGCCCTGCAGCTCAGTCCCTCTGCTCTCCCAGTCACACTCAGCGCCCTGCTCTCACTGCGCCCGGGATCTGACCCCGCGCCCTGGGCCCGCATGCACGCACCGTCCGTGTTGTCGAAGACCGTCGTGTGCTTGACGAAGGCCACGTCCCCCGCGTTCTCCACCAGGCACCTGTCCCACGGGAGGCAAGGCGGGGTTGGCGGCTGGGTCCGGGCCCCGGGGGCCCCCTGCGCCCCCCTTCCCGGGGTCCCTGCTTTGGCCGCTACCTGAAGGCCCCGCTGTCCCCGTAGTAGCGCTCCTGGCTGCTGCCCGCACACTTGTTGCGGCCCTGCTCGTCGCCCACGCACAGCGCGCACAGCGAGGCGGGGAAGTCGGCGGCCGGGTTGTTCACGGGCACGCAGCTGGCGGCGAAGAACTCGCTCACGGCTGGGGCGGAGGGAAGGGTTGGGCCGAGGGGGTCAGGGGCGGGAGGAGCAGACCCTCACCGAAGACCCCAGCCCGCAATAGCACCTCCGCACCCGCCCACGCCCCCGAGATGTGGGCTGAGGGGCTACGAGGGCCTTTGGGCGCCCACCGCACCCCAGCCTCTGCTCAGGGGTCACCAGCCACCCTCGGGGATGTCGCCACCCCCTCAGGCTGGTTCCCGCTGCAGCCACGTCCCCATCCTGCACACCCCACCCCACACCCTACACCCCTGCCTCGTGCAGGCGCTCTGTGGGTGCTTGTAAAAGGATGCTGGGTTTGGTTTTTTTGGGGGGGCAGCAGCCAGGGTGGAGGGGTGCGCCCAGGGCTCTGGCCAGTTTCCTACGCCTCCTTCTTTGGTCAGAATGGGGCAGGCACCCAGGCCCCGAGCCAATGCCCAGGGGTGCCCAGGGATGGTTCAGGCAGCTATTCTCCAGCACCGCTTCCCTGGGGGGCTGCTTGGGGCGGGTGAGGGGCTCAAAGGCTGCCCCCCACCATCCGATGGGGGAGTCTGTCAGGTCCTGATTCCTTTACTAGCTGACTGCCGGCACCCTCTGGTGCTCGGTCAACTCCGAGCATGGGGGGCTGGAGCGACACCACAGGGGTAGGGTGTTTGCCTTGCACGTGGCCGACCCAGGTTCGATTCCCAGCATCCCATATGGTCCCCTGAGCACTGCCAGGAGTGATTCCTGAGTGCAAAACCAGGAGTAACTCCTGAGCATCGCCAGGTGTGACCCGAAAAGCAAAAAAAAAAAAAAAAAAACAAAAAACTGCGAGCGTGGGTGAGGACAGTCAGTAGCTGGGCACCTGTACAGACCCAGCGGGCAGACCCCCTGAGCTCTGCAGGGGCGACTCAGGTATTCCTGGGAGTTGGGAGGGTTGCGGGTGGCAAAGCCTGCAGGGGTGGTCTGCAGAGAGGGTCCCTCAGAACTGGCCCCCAGTTAAGCAGGAGAGTGTAGGGGCACGTGTGCACCGGTGCGGGGCTATACCTGTGGGCACGTCGCAGTCCTTGGGCCGGAGGAAGCCCTTGTGCGTCAGGGCGCCCACCGGGACGGCCCAGCCGGCCAGGCTGCCAAAGCCCGAGTGGCAGGAGCGGCGGCCGCGCAGCTCGTCCAGGCTGAAGGCATCGGAGCTGTTGCGCCTCACCACGGCCACGGCGAAGTACGAGCTGCTGCTGTCCTCGGCTGGGGCGGGGCGGGGGTGGATGATGCCTTCCCTGGTCCTCCCCTGCCCCGGGCGCGCGCGGGGCAGTGGCCCAGCCTCGCTGAGATGCGGGCCGCCGGGACCACTTTCTCAGAGTCCCCCACCCCCATTCCTTTCTGTCCCCACACCCAGATGGTAATTTCTCGCCTCCTGGGAGGAAGGCGGGGAGGTGGAGGCATTTTCTCTAAGCCCTGAGATTTTTCACATCCAAATGGCAGGGACTAAGGCCCCACTAAGTTCCCGAAGAGGATGAGTGCCCAGTTCGTGGTCCCTGGGAGCTGTGCCAGGCAGTCAGGAGGAGACCCGGTCCCCCAGTCCAGGGCAAGGCTCTCTACTGGCTCTCTACTTTTTGTATGGGCCTGGGCTGTGAACTGAGAACAGCTTTTATATATGTGTGTGTGTGTGTGTGTATATATATATATATATATGTATATATATGTATATATATATTTTTTAATGATGGGAGTGGGGGTTGGAGAGAGCTGGTACAGCAGGTAGGGCTCTTGCCTTGCATGCACCCAGCCCAGGTTCTATTCCCGGCACCACAGAGAGTCCCGGAGCCCTGCCAGGAGTGACCCCCTCCCCAGCACAGACACTGGAGTAGTTGCAAAACAAACAAACAAAAAAGTGGGGGGGGGCAGAGAGATAGTTCTGAGGGTAAGGTGCTTGCCGTGCATGCAGCCAACCCTGGATTCAATCCCAGGCATCCCTTATGGTCCCCCAAGCCCACCAGGAGTGATCGTTGAGCACAGAGTCAGGAATAAGTCCTGTATTGCCTCCATGCCCCCCTCCCACCCCCCAAAAAAAGAAGAAAAAAAGAAAGGAAAAAAAAGTAAAGAAGATGTAGCGGGGTCCAAGGGAGCGGCAGACCTCTCCGCCTGGCCCTTCAAGCAGTGTCAGGGCCCGCTGGGCATCAGGGACGGGAGGGGAGGCCGCGCCTTGGGACAGCTGGTGGCTGCCCAGGACTCAGACGACCCGGGCAGAGTGGAGAGCCCCAAGGAAGTTTGTAAATAAGCCCCATGCACGGCCGCTGCACTCACGTGCATAGCGCTCCCCGGCCGCCGGCACCAGGCCATAGGTCTTCCCCGCCGTGTAAACGTCCCCACCGCTCAGCGTCACTGCATCCGCCTGGCCGTCCTGCAGAGCCATGGAAAGAGCCACCAGACTGGGCTGAGCCCCACGATGGCCATGGAGGTGCCATGAAGGGCTCTTGGGGATTCTGTCTTCAGCTCGTGTCCCCTGGAAGCCCCCGGGGCTGCTTCACTGGCCGCTTCTCCTTCAGCAGGTTGGGGCAGGAGGGGTGCTCGGGCCCAGCCAGGGGGCTGGGGACATTCTCTAGTCACCTCCCAGAGGACCTAGGTCCTTCTATGACTCAACCTGCTCAGACAGAACCTAAGAACCCCCTCAGGTGTGGTGTGGGGTCTCCCCATGAACCACCAGCACGTAGCCAGGCTGTCCCATAGCCTGAGGAGGAAGAGGAGGAGGAGAAGGAGAAGGAGAATGAGAAGGAGAAGGAGCAAGAAATGGAGGAGGAAGAGGACGAGGATGAGGAAGAAGAGGAAGAGGATGAGAATGAGGAGGAAGAGGATGAGAATGAGAAGGAAGAAGAGGAGAAGGAAGTGGAAGAGGAGGACGAATAAAAGGAAGAAGAAGAGAACAAGGAAGAAGAGGAGGAAGAGGGGGAGGAGGAGAACAAGGAGAAGGAAGAGAAGGAGGAGGACAAGGAGGAGGAGGGTAACAATGGAAGGATCAAAGGGCTGTGGGAGAGGGCTGCAGTGGGTAGGGGCTCCACCTGCCACAGTAACGGGGGGGGGTGGCCCTGCCCACTGGCCCCATGTCCTCCGCTCCTGCTGTCTCTGCAAAGGACCTCTCTGACAATCAGGGCCTGGGGCAGCAGAGGCTGATTTTCATCTGTTGCCCCAGATGTGCGGGAATCAATCCCAGGGGTGTGAGTATGGGCTCGAGCCTGGGGGTACTGCGGCTGGAGGGGCACAATCCCTGCCAGCATGGTTGTGGAAAGTTTGCACGGGAGCTGCACCAGCATCTGAGCCGGAAATGCCCCCTCCCCTGCCGCGCTGGTGTGCTAACACTGCAGCAGGAAGTGCGGACCCCCGTGGACCCCAGGTGACTGAGTCGGACACTCTGATCTGAGGCACCACCCCAGCAAGGTGACAGCAACAAGGAAGGGAGGAAACAGAAAACAACAAATGCATTAAACCAGATTAATAAATGTAGAAGCTAATTAATAAATTAATAAATCCAATTAATAAAAATGCAGAAAATCCAGGGAAACTTTTAACAAAAGCCCTAAAAATCAGGCCACAGCCAAAACTGGACGGCTACATGCAAAAAAGTGGGCTCAGAGCTCTGCCTAACGCCATGTACAAAAGTAAGATCAAAGTGGATTAAAGACCTCAACATTAGACTGGAATCCATAGGTACATTGAAGAAAAAGTTGGCAAAGCCCTTCATGACATTGAAGCTAATGGTATCTTCAAAGATGTCACGCCACTGGTTAAGCAAGTGAAAACAGAGATAGACAAATGGGACTATCTTAAACTAAGAAGCTTCTGCACCTCAAAAGAAACAGTGACCAAAATACAAAGACAGTCTACAGAACGGGAAAAGATATTCGCTGAATACACATCCAACAAGGGGTTGATATCAAGGATATACAAAGTACTGGTTGAACTCCACAAGAAGAAAACATCCAACCCCATCAAAAATGGGGCGACAAAATGAACAGAAACTTTCTCAAAGAAGAAATCCGAATGGCTAAAAGGCACATGAGAAAATGCTCTACATCATTAATCATCAGGGAGATGCAGATCAAAACAACAACGAGATATCATTTCACACCACAGAGACTGGCCCACATCCAAAAGAACAAAAACAACCAGTGTTGGCGCGGATGTGGCGAGAAAGGGACCCTCCTTCACTGCTGGTGGGAATTCTGACTGGTTCAGCCCTTTTGGAAAACAGTATGGACGATTCTCAAAAAATTAGAAATTGAGCTCCCATTTGACCCAGCAATACCACTCCTGGGAATATATCCCAGAGAGGCAAAAAAGTATAGTCGAAGTGACATCTGCACTTGTTTGTTCATTGCAGGACTCTTTACAATAGCCAGAATCTAGAAAAAACCTGAGTGCCCGAGAACAGATGACTGGTTAAAGAAACTTTGGTACATCTACACAATGGAGTACTATGCAACTATTAGAGAAGATGGAGTCATGAAATTTACTTACAAGTGGTACTACATAGAAAGTATGCTAAGCGAAATCAGTAAGAAAGAGAGGGAAAGATTGCATTCATCTGGGGAACATAAAGTAACAAAATAGGAGACTAACACCCAAGAGTGGCCAAGATTAGTACCAGGAGGTTTGCTCCATGGCTTGGAGGCCAACCACACATGCTAGGGGAAAGGGGAGCTCAGATAGAGAAGGGAGCACCAAATAAAGGATGTTGGGAGGATCCTCCCAGGATGGGAGAAGCATGCTGAAAGTAGACTATAGACCAAACATGATTGCCACTCAATGCCTCTTTTGCAAACCACAACACCCAAGAGGAGAGAGAGAACAAAAGGGAATACCCTGCCACAGAGGAAGGGTGGGGAGGGGGGTATTATCCATGGTGGTGGAAAATGGGCACTGGTGGAGGGATGGATATTTGATCATTGTATAATTGAAACCCAAGTACAAAAATTTGTAAGTCTACAACTGTACCTCATGGTATCTCACTAATAAAAATTAAATAAATAAATAAATGAATAAAGAGCAGGAAAAAAAAAGAAAGAAAACGTAAAAAAAAATCAGGCTGCAGCAGTACACTGAGTTCTCTTGGGTGGGGGCTAAAAGTGAGGCGAAGGGGGGTCCCCCAGGAAGGGCCTGGGGCTTTGGAGGGCCGAGGGGGGTCCCCGGCAGCAGGATTCTGGGCCGTGTGTTCCCCAACCCTGCCTTCCCCTCCCTGCTGAGTTATCAGGAGGGCACCCCCACCCTGGACCCGCCACCAAGGGCCAGTCCTGCTGATCTTGCTTCTCTGCACCCCTGAGTCCTTCACTGGGCTTCTGAGGACCTCTTGGAGCCTGCTCTTCTCCCTGGCCCCCCAGACAGACCCCTTGGGCCACCCATGAGCTCAGGCTGCAGAAAGTGGGTTTTCACCCATGGTTTTCACGCGTGAAAGCCAGGGCCACCCGCAGGCAAGTCAGGTGCCTGGCCCCAGAGTTCCCTCCCAGAGCTGACCCCCTCTCCCTGCCTGCCCCTTGTTTCCTGGCCTTGGAACCAACGGCCCAGAATCTCATATAAAGACGAGGGCTCGGGGTTGGAGCAATAGCACAGCGGGTAGGGCATTTGCCTTGCACGCAGCCAACCCGGGTTCGATTCCTAGCATCCCATATGGTCCCCTGAGCACCACCAGGGGTAATTCCTGAGTGCAGAACCAGGAGTAACCCCTGTGCATCGCCGGGTGTGACCCAAAAAGAAAAAAAATAAAGAAAAAAAAACGAGGACTCCCCCACAGCAAAGCTCCCTTGTCCCCCTGCAACCCCGTCCCCACACGTGACAGGCTGTGGTTGGGAGCTTAACTGGCTCACAGAAGCATGAGCTTAGCAGCCCCCTGACCTCCGCATCCATTCCTGTCCACTCTTCAGCCCTCGGGAGGGGCCCCGTCTGGCCTGTGCCTGAGATCTGACCTGACAGGACTCCTGACCACCAGGGGGAGCCATCACTTGCCGTTTGGAGGCCTGGAGGGGACGTGCCAGGGAGCACAGAGGGCAGGGAGCACCACAGAGGGTTCCCCCCTCCCTGCCCCAATAACCGTCATGAACCAGAGCCCAGAGCCGTGAATAGCCCTGAGCACCGCTGGGTGTGGCCCCTAAACCCTCTAAAATAATAAATAAGAGACCTGAGTGTAGGAGCCTGGGCAGCCAGAGGGGACTGTTCCTGGCCACTGGGCGTCTGGACATTGCCAAGTTCCGGCCTCAGCTTCTAGCCGGAGAGTCAGAGCAGGAAGGAGCTGAGACGAGGGTGGCCTGTGCAGATTTTTGGGAGGTGTGGGGGGGGGGGCAGGAGGACCCTCCCGGTAAGACTAGGCTGAGGATAAGCTGCTGCTCCAGGCCTGTGGAGCCACACCCAGTGGCCCCTCGACCCCACCTAGGGATGACACAGGGCTGGGGACATACAAGGCTACTGACTAATCTCTGGACTGTCTCCCCGGCCCCAGGCCACTTCCCCACTAACTGCAGGTGGCAGGCACGTCAGCAGATGCCATTGTGCCAGCCATGACAGGCTTAACACAGGCCTAGAATCAAGGGCTGGAGACAGGCCAGAGAAGAGGGCACTTGACTTGCCTGTGGTTAACCCAGGCACCACCTACGGACCCCGAGCACCGCTAGGAGTGATTCCTGAGGCCAGAGCCAAGAGTCAGCCCTGAGCACCGCCAGGAGTGAGCCCCCAGCCCAGAGCCCTGAGCATAGCCAGGGGTCACACCCCCAAACAAACAAACAAACAAACAAAAAAGACTAAACTGGAATAACAAGGGAGACGCCCGGCACCTTGTGCTGGGTAACGGTAAGCAGGGGGCCCAGACCTACAGTGGAAGAATCATTTCTGTGAACTGACTGTGGCAGGTGCGAAGTGCGGTCCTGGCTGAAGACTGCGGTCAAAGACACTGACCAGTGACCTGTGCCCACTCCCTACGGTGCACGAGGGGAAACTGAGACTCAGAGAGGAGAAGGGGCTTGTGCAAAGCCACAGGATCAGCCAGTGCTGAGCTGGCCCGGCCTCAGGTGTGGGGGCGACCCCAGGGCAAAGCTCCTCACTCTGCCCTCTCCTCTATGCTCTTTATCCAGTTTCTGGTGGGGTTGCCATGGAGACCTTTGCCCCTCCCCCATCCTTTGGGCCAGGTGGGACCCGGGAGGGCAGCGAGGACCGTCCCAGCGCCCCGACCTGAATCTGCTGCATGCAGTGGCGGGGGGACTCGGCCGACACGCACTGGATCTCGGGCGTGAGCCTCTGCCTGCCGAAGGCCACGGCCATGTCTCCGCACTTCTGGATCTCGGGGGTGGACAGCACGCACCAGCGCAGGTCCCGGGGCAGCCCTGTGTGGGGTGAGCACGTGGGTGCGGCCAGGCTGGCCCTGCCCCCGGGGTGGGGGAGTGACCGGGGTGTGGCCTGGGGGACAAGGGGCAGGGGGAGGGTGGGCACCGAGATCTCAGCACCCGGGCAGCTCTGGCCTGTCCTGGTCAGCACTACAGGACCCAGGGCTGGATGGGGACTTGAGGCCCATCCAGGAGGTGTGTCTGACTCCAGCACCCCCTTCCCTGGCTCCGGTGGAGGGTATTCGGGGAGGGGGTGGGACACCGATGCCCATCTGGAGAGCAGAGTGGACTGATGGTTTGGGCTTGAGGTCTGGACGCTCCCCCCACCTTCCCCCCCCCCCCAGCCCCCCAGGCGGGCACAACCTTCATCTTCCTCCCAACCCAAGGGAGAGAAGTGGAGGTGGCGGCCTTCCGGGAGGCCACTCCCCCCCACTCCCCGGTGTCCCTCCCTGGGGTCCAGCCAGTTGGGGAAGGCGGGGCAGGGGGCGGCGCTCACGGTTGGGGTCGCAGAGGAGGCCCTTCATGGCGTGCTCGTACTCGCGGCCCAGCCACGCCTCGTAGGTCTGGGTGGCGATGGGCACCAGCTCCGAGGTGGCGTCCTTGAATAGCAGGTTCTTCTGGCCGTAGGCCTCGGAGCTGAACATCTGGAAGCTGCTTCCCTCGTGGCCGAACAGGCGCTGTGGGGCGAGGGGCAGGTGGGGGCCTGTGCCGGCGGCTGCCAGGCTCCTGCTCCTCCCTGAGCACCAGGAGAGCCCTTCCTCTGTGCACCCCGGCCCCGTGCACCCCATTTTACAGGCATGGGAGGCCTGAGGACGGCCTGGGCAGAGGTGGGAGTGAGGGGCAGACTCGGCCAAACTGGTGTCCTGTGGTCAGAAACCCAACTGAGCAAATGATGCCCACAGTTATCTGGTGGTGGCAAGGACAGCTGTTGTCACTGCCTTTACCTGCTCACGGGTCCCAGAGCTTTCGTGGTGGGTGTCTGTGTGCTCCTCTCCCCCACTGTGTCCTCTCGTAAGCCAGCCTGACCCTGTCCCCTTCATACTGGCCTCAGCTGGACACCTAGAGGCTTGAGTTCCCTTCTGAGGTCTGTCGCCAGGGAGGGTCCCCGGGCTCTGCCCCTTGTTGTTTGGTCTGGCGGTCTGGCCTGTGTGTCCCCCCAGGCCAGAGACCAGGAGGCCGGCCCCGCCCTGGGATGCCGGTGGGGGAGAGTCCTGCCCTCACCTGGCCCTCATTGAGCAGCTGGAAGATGAGGCCCCCGTCGGTGTGGGCCCGGACCACCACGGCATGGGCAGGCACACGCGCCAGGTGGCAGCGCCTCCATTCGGTGACCTCAGCCCGGCCTCCGTCCCGGCACAGCAGCTCGAAGTCCTGGGAGAACAGCTCCTGGCCCCACGACGGCAGGGTTTTCCCTGGAAGACGGAGTCTGTGATGCTCCCACGCCTGTCTGCGAAGGGCTCGGGGCTCCTCGGGGAAGGGCGGGGAGGGTGACTGGACAGAGGCTAGTGTGGCATGAGCCATGGACCCAGGCTGAGGTGGGGGAAACCCAGAGTTACAGCAGGAAGAGGAATGTCAACACAGCAGGAGGTGAGAAGCTCAACTGCAGCAGGAGATGAGAATCTTACTACTGCAGGAGGTGAGAATATTGATACAATAGGAGGTGAGAATCTTAACTACAGCAGGAGGTGAGAATCTCAACTACAGCAGGAGGAGGTGAGAATCTCACAGCAGGAGGTGAGAATCTCAACTACCCCAGGTGGTGAGAATCCTTATCACAGCAGGAGGTGAAGACCAGAAAGTGAAAGCAAAGAGCTCCAGGGCTGCACCCTTCATGACCAGGTGTTTCAACAGCCTACTTGCATTTCTGGTCTCGTAACTGATTTATAATTAATGAAATAGTAAGTTCTACTAATACACTGAACTCGTGATATCTGCAAATAAAACAGTATAGTGAGAATAGTTCATTAAAGGTCAGAGAAGTTCCTGCTGAGGAGTGTGCCAGGGATCCGGCATGAGCTACCCCCGGCTCTGAAGTGTGCAGGGTGGCGCCCTGTGGAAACCAGTGCTAGTGCAGGACCGAGGTGCAGTAGGAAAAGGGGGACCCTCAGGAATTCACCCATAGCTCTGACCATTGATGTCTTCATGTATTTACTCCAAATCATTCTTTCTGTTCTAATTTTTAATAATTTAATTTGTAGGGACCATATCAACAGGGCTGGAGGTGGGTATCCAGCTGCTCCAGGCCACTCCGTGTTTGGGAGGGGTCCGTGCATATGGACCACCAGGACCTTACATATGCTCTACCATTTGAGCTACCTCCCAGGTCTTAATAATAACTTTTTTTTTGGGGGGGGAGAGGCATACGCAGTGATGCTCAGGGAGTCTGTGCTCAGGGACAGCTCCTGATGATGCCTGAGGGACCATGCAGTACCAGGGATGGAATTCAGGCTCTCAGCCCACTGAGATCTCTCCTTGACAATTTCAATACCATTCAGGACATACCGAGAGGTAAGTCTTGAGTCTGATTCCCCATCCCTCCTACTTATCATCTTAAAATATTTTTCTTCATTATTGAAAGCCTTCCATAGACCTCATTTATAATAGAAAAGATTTATTTAAAAGAGTGACTCTGTACCAAATGGTAATATTAAGAGGAGTATTAAAGACACAACTAAACCGGGCAATGAAACAGATAGTGCTACCTAACTTTCCTATTTTTATGGCTTTTAAAATAATAATTTAAAAAAATCCTATGCTTGGAATTAGGAGGACAAAAGAGAATTTTGTGGAGTCATATAAAGAAAAATATGCTCACTGTAGAGCTATTTAAAAACAAAACCCAAAGCCCAGAGAGTAATAGTTTGGAAAACTCCATAAAGGTCATTTTTAATGACTTCACACTCATTTATAGCACTCTCAACAATTACTCAGCGACATTCGCTCCCCACTCCCTAACTTTTCTCTATTTTTAAAGTGCTGCAGAACCTTTGTATAGAACGCTGGGGGATCGTTTGGCTTCCCCATGAGGCAAATGCAGCATTTAGCCATTCCCACCTGCTGGAGCCAGGAAAGCTGAGTTATCTCACCTCTTCAGCCATGGATGGCAATTTCGCTCTTGCTCTCACCAATCTTTTCTTGCATAAACACACTCTTAAATTTTTTTTTCCTTAGGGTTTTTTTTTGGGGGGGGGCGGTGACCATCAAGAATCTAAAGACTTCTCTGTGATGCTCAGGGTTCACTCCTGGCTCTGATCTCAGGGATCACTCCTGGAAGGCTCAGGGGATCCTACAGGATGCCAGGGATCGAACCTGGGTCAGCTGTGTGCAAGGCAAACGCCCTACCCGCTGTACTGTCTCTCCAGCCCCTCCAAGACTTTTTTTTTTCTTTTTGGGTCACACCTGGCAATGCACAGGGGTTACTCCTGGCTCTGCACTCTACTCCTGGTGGTGCTCAGGGGACTGTATGGGACGCTGGGAATTGAACCTGGGTCCGTCGCATGCAAGGCAAATGCCCTACCCACTGTGCTATCTCTCCAGCCTCCTCAAAGATGTATTTTTAAGTTCAACAGATCCCTGCTCTTTCTCCACTCCTAACGCCTCCTTGGGTTGACTCTTCATGGGGTTCAAGTCCCTGCGCCTGTTTTTTTCAGGCCTGTCATGCTAAGGACACAAGCCACTGAACTTCCTCCTTTAGATCAGTTTCTTCCTCTTCCTGAATCTGATTCTTGTTACTTCCTTCAGGGTCCATAGACTTTCAGATTTAAAAGACAATTATTCGGCAGGGCTGGAGCGATAGCACAGCGGGTAGGGCGTATGCCTTGTACATGGCCAACCGGGTTCAATCCCCGACATCCCATGTGGTCCCCCAAGCACTGCTAGGAGTAATACCTGAGTGCAGAGCAAGGAGCAAGGCCTGAGCATTGCTGGGTGTGTCCCAAAAAGAAAACTGTCCTGTCCGTCCTTCCGTTGTTCATTGATTTGCTTGAGTGGGCCCAGTAATGTCTCCATTTTGAGACTTGTTACTGTGTTTGGCATATTGAATACGTCACGGATAGCTTGCCAGGCTTTGTTGTGCGGGCGAGATACTCCCAGGCTCTCCGAGATGGACGGAGGAATCAAACTCGGGTCAGCCATGTCGGCTGTGTGCAAGGCAAACGCCCTACCCACTGTGCTATCGCTCCAGTTGGTCAGAAGGATGTGAGTTATTGTTAAACTGATTAAACCAAAAAGAAAAAAAAAGAGGGAAAACTTGCCAGTTTCTAAAAGTAAAGATATCTAATAACTACAGGCCACATACGATCAGGCATCAGGACGGGGCCTGCAACACTGGACTCCAAGGGCGAAGCCGGGGTTGCAATGGTGCTGACCACACGTCCACGGCTGCTGACCGCGCTGGGCTTTGGCGCTAAGTCGTTACTTGCTTGCTCTTAGGACACACATACCAAGGGTGCAGGGTATGCTGTGAGCAAACGTACCCCCTCTGGAGCAGAAGAAACACGTGGACAGGAAGCATGAGAAACCCAACAGGGCAAGTGTCTGAATTTGGAATCTGGGCAGAGGTACTGGGAGCTCTTGGGATCAGTCCTGCAGGGTTTCGAAAGCTAGGAAGACCGAAATGACAAAGGGGCAATGCGGAACATTAGCCGTTCTCTACTATGATCTCATCCTGGAATAAAGGATGGCTCCATTGGATGCAGGGGAATGCCAGGAAGAGATGAGAGAGAGAGAGAGAGAGAGAGAGAGAGAGAGAGAGAGAGAGAGAGAGACAGAGAGACAGAGAGACAGAGAGACAGAGAGAGACAGAGACAGAGAGACAGAGAGACAGAGAGAGAAGACAAAAAAGGCTAGAGAGACAGGTGAGAGAGGAAGTAAGAGAGAGGTGAGAGAGTGAGAGGAGGTGAGAGAGTGAGAGGAGTGAAAGTGAAAGAGGAGGAGAGAGAAAGACAGAGATATGACAAAGAGAAGGCTAGAGAGAGGTGAGAGATAAGGAAAGAAAGTGAGAGCAGGTGAGAGTGAGAAGAGAGAGAGAGAGAGAGAGAGAGGAGGAGGAGGAGGAGGAGGAAGAGGAGGAGGTGGAGGAGCGGAGGAGGAGGTTTCCCTAATTTTAACCCATAACCGAGGTCAGTGGATGGAACAACACCACCTGCAGAGAGCAGGGCCCTGCTGACTCCCATCCCCTGCCACAAGAAACAGTTGATGCTTTTGTTCATTTTCTTGCCATTCCCAGGGTGCTCGTGGGACCATGTGGCGCTGGGCATCTAACCTGGGGCTCCCACTTGAGCCCAACCCTTCAAGTCCTCTCCCTGTCCACCATCACCATCAGCCTGCCTTCCTTCCTTCCTTCCTTCCTTCCTTCCTTCCTTCCTTCCTTCCTTCCTTCCTTCTTCCCTTCCTTCCAGTGCCAAGCTCTGAGCATTCCCATTGAGCCACACCCCTTAGCCCTGCTTGAGCAGGGTGAACCCCAAGAATGAAGGGTTCATCCTGGGTCACAGCCATTGCAGAGCCGCACATCTTGGGTGCCCCAAAGACAGGTTAGTCTCCCTTTCAGGGAGACTCCCGGCCCCCACTCACCGTCGGTGTTCTCCAGCACTGTGCTGTGCTTCACAAAGGCCACATCCCCCGCCCCTTCTGCCAGGCACCTGCGGAGCACAGACCCCCGTGAGCACCCCTTGAGCCCAGGCTCTTCACCCTGACCGGCCCCAGGAGTTGAGACTTTGCCGTTTCGCTTTGCTGACCCAGAGCCCCTCAGAGAAGCAGGTCTGTAGGGGGGACCCTCATACTATGCAGATCTAGGGGGCCTAACCCTGCACCTATAGGGGTGAGAGTGTGGAACCATCCTCAATCCTCCATCTCTGACTCTGGGGGCAGCAGGGCAGGTTGGGGAACAGCCTGGGTCCCCATGGTCAGCCGCTGGCGGCCTGGGGAGGAAGGGGACAGCCCGGGACAGGAGGCTGGGCGGTGTCTGGCTGGGAGGACAGAGGTTGCATTGACCCAGATCACAGCCGGGGGTGGGGAGCACCAGAAGCACCCCCATCTTGTGTGCTCCCCTTTCCTGGCCTCCACGAGGAGCACCGAGGACTGAGATGGGGGGACTCGAGGCTGCGGTGAGAAACCACCTTTTAATTTTATGTTTTGGTTTCTGGGCCACACTTGGCAGTGCTCCAGGATGACTCCCGGCTCTGTGCTCAGGGATGAATCCTGGAGGGGCTTAGGGGACCACACGGGGTGCCGGGGATGGAGTCTGGGTCAGCCGCGTGGAAGGCAAGCGCCCTGCCCACCGTGGTGTCGCTGAGGCCCAGACCCTCTTAAGGATCCTGGATTGCGTAGGGACAAGCCTGTTGGATCAGGGCGGAGCCAGGCCAGCCCTGGGGGTCCAGCCCCGGGGGTGCGGCACCCTGAGACACCAGGCCCGGGTTTTTCCGTGCTTCTCCGGCTCCTTCTCCCCAGCCCCCGGTCCGAGCCGTGATTCATCGCCCTGGGCCTCCCGGGGATGTTTTTCCGCGGGCGCCGGTCTATAAAGGCGGCTTTGACGGCGCGGCGGGCGTGGCCCCTCCCTCCCTGGCCGCACCCGCACCCCGGGGCGCCCCGCCTACCTGAAGGCCCCGCTGTAGTCGTAGTAGCGCTCCAGCGGGCTCGGGGCGCACACGCCCTCCCCGGCCGCGTCGCCCCGGCACAGGCGGCACAGGCTGCCCGCGTAGACGCTCTCGCCGGCCCCCGGCACGCAGCTGCCCCCGAAGTACTCGCTGACCGCTGTGGGGGAGGCAGAAGGGGACAGTGGGCCGCGCCCCGGGACGCCCCCTTCCCCAGCCAGCCCTCGGGGAGCGAAGCTGCCCGGCTGGATGGTGATTCCTAGACTGGGCGCCCCCAAAGCAGAAGGGGGGGCTCGGGGAGCTGTCCTTACGTTAAAATGGGTGGGGGGCATGCGGTGGGGGAGGGAGAGAGAGAGGGAGAGAGAAAGGGAAAAGAGAGAGGGGAGAGGGCAGAGAGCCAGGAGCAGTGAGGGATGAGGGAGAGGAGGAGGAGGGCCACAGGGATGAGGGACACAGCAGGCCGAGGGACAGCGGGGACGAGGCCTTGCTGGCGCAGGCGGCCCCTGCTGGCCCGAGGCTCGGCTCTACCCCCCCCCCCCCCCTTGCCAGCATCCCCAGTGCCCAGGTGCCTTCCAGCATGTCTCCCTCCTGCAGGGCTGGACCGAGTCCCTTTGAGGGGAGCTCACTTCCTTTTTGAAAAATAGGGGTCACACCCTCCCAGAGGCATCTGGAAGGCACCAGGTCCCCAGGAGGCCATGCAGTTAGACAGGTGGTGCCCAGGGCAGTGTGGGGCTACGGGTCCAGCTGGGGCGCCCCCTCGGGGATGTCTAATCCAAGTACAAGGGGGGGCGGGACGGAGCCACAGCACAGCGGGACGGACTCTGGCCTTGCACACGGCCACCCCCACTCAGCCCACCAGGAGTGACCCCTGAGCACGTCTGGGCACAGCCCCAGCACATGCCTCGTGTCTCGTGTCCCAGAGTCCCGAATGGAGGCGAGCCCGCACCCTGCGGCTGTGTGAGTAAGCTGCCGTTTCCCGCTGCACTGGGCTGCTGTGAGTGGTCAGTGCTGGTGGCAGGAGCCCAGGGAGAGGGGCCGCAGGCTCCGCCTCATTCTCAGGAGCTGTGGCTCAGCTCATTTCCCCCCCCCCCACTCCCCCTCTCCCTGGGCAGCTCCACACTGGCCAGTCGTGCCCAGAGCCCTGGGACCCGCTGAGCTCTGGGCACCCCTAACAGTGCTCAGGGCGTCCTACTGCTCCGTGCTCGTGGGAGTACGTGGTGCTGGGGTCGAACCCGGACCAACTCCAAGTGTTTTCCAGCTGAGTCTGGAGTCTTCCCTGTGAGGGCGGGTTTCCTGAAGCCACCTCCCCTGGGCCTCCCTCGGGACTCTAGGGGGGTGGGTGCTGCGCCCTCTGGGTGGCAGGGGACACTGTGAGGAGCGAGCTGAGGGTCCCAGGAAGACCCGTCAGTCTGCACCAGGCTGGTCAGTAGGAAGGAGTTCTCCCGAGGTGCCGGGGCACAGGGCTGGGGGTGCCGTCGGAGGGATGGGAAGGGAAGGGGCCCGGGCACAGCCTCACCTTTGAGCACGTCGCAGCCCATCACTGAGAGGTGGCCACTGTCCACAAGGAAGCCCACGGGCACGTTCCATCCCACCGTGCGGTTGATGCCCGTATGGCAGGACCTGGCGCCTTTCAGGGTGCTGAGGGTCAGGTTGGAGCCCCGCTTGACCACGGCCACGGCGTAATAGGAGGTGCCCACGTCTGCATGACGGCAGGCCAGGAGGGCGGTCAGGGCGCTGCGAGACAGTAGCAGTGCCCTCCCTCCAGGGAACACTGGGGAGTGTGTGTGTATGTATGTGTGTGAGTGTGAGTGTGTGTGAGTACAACAGAGCTGTGCTGCTCCTGACTGTCCCAGGGACAGGTTGGTGCCCATGTATGTATGTGTGTAGTGTGTATGAGTGTGTGTGTGTGAGTGTACATGTGAGTGTGTATATGACTGTATGTCTGTGAGTATAGCAGGGTCTGTGCTGCTCCTGACCATCCCAGAAGCAGGTGTCATGAGTGCATGTGTGTGGTGTGTCCGAGTGTGTAAGTGTATGTATGAGTGTATGTTTGTGTGTGTGTGTGTGTGTCTGTGAGTACAGCAGGGCCTGTGCTCCTCCTGACTGTCCCAGGGGCAGGTGCCATTTGTGTATGTATGTGGTATGTATGAGTGTGTGTGTATGAGCATGTGTGTGAGTATGTGAGTGTATATGGTGTGTGAGTGTGCATGTGTGTGTGGGGGGGTGTTCATGTGTGTATGAGTGTGTGCATGTGTCTCTGTGTGACTGTGTTCACATGTGTGTATGAGTGTGTGCATGTTTGTGTGAGTGTGCATGTGTCTATGTGTGTATGAGTTGTGTGCATGTGTCTGTGTGTGACTGTTCACGTGTGTGTATGCGTGTGTGCATTTGTGTGTGTGTGAGTGTGTATATGTGAATTCTGTGAGTACAGCAGGTCGTGTGCAGCTCCTGACTGTCCAGGGCAGGTGCCGGCCCAGTGGGTGTCGGTCCCTCCTGCCCCCAGCCCACCCGTATCCGCCTCTCTCCCCCCGGCACCCACGGGGCAGCCCCTCAGCAGAAAGACTGTGAGCGAGTCAGGGGAGGGGCCGGGCCCCAAAGATCAGAGCTGACTCAGGTCTCTGGCTCTGGCACCCCACCTTTGGGGGGCTTCAGGAGAGATTTGGGGGCTCCTCGGGGATGGTCTGTCATGTGAAGACTCCGGGACACTATGGGCTCGGGGCGGGTCACCTCAGCCCTCACCTTGGTCGTAGACTTCGCCCACCACGGGCTTCAGGCCGTGCTCCTTCCCTGCCTCATAGATGGCCCCTCCATCCAGCGTGATGGCGTCGGCCTCCTCGGCCTGTGGGACACGCGCGTCAGCTGGGCACAGGCACCCACCAGGAGTGGCGGGCACCCCTTGACCCCGAGGCCACATCGTGCATCTGGCCAGGAACCCTGTTGAGCACCGCCCTGCTCCCTGTTCCTTTTCAGGATGGGCTTTCCCCACCAGTTGGACCCCGGTGCCGGCTCGCCAAGGCCAAGGCCTTGCATCGTTTTCCTGTTTGGGGGGAGGGGGAGCACGATGATTCCCAAGTAGTGCTCAGGCGGTCATTCCCAGTGATATTCAGGCAACTGGCAGTGCTGGGGGCCCCAGAGACACCCCATGGCGCGTGGGGCCCGTGGGGTCCCCAGGATCAGCCTCAAAGCCACCGCATGCCCTGCAGGCACGCCACCCTCTGGGCTGTCTGCAGAGTTGTTCTCAGCGGTCAGAGAGCAAGTTCACTAATCCTGTGGGACTCAGCGGCCCAGCGGACAGAGGGACAGGATGGAGCGCTGAGGGGTGAGGGGTGAGGACCGAGCCTCCGGCACGCGTTCCCTCCTGGCTTTTGTCTCTCAGACTTGGACTGAAGCCCGTACGTGGCCTCTGGAAACCGTTTCCCTTCTGCTTTTAGGACACAGACGGCAGTGTGCTGTCCCGGGCTCAGGGAGGATGCAGGCGGCTCTGCTGGAGCTCACTTGGACGCCCCAGTTTGAGGCCCCCACGTGGGAGATGGTCCTGAGACCAGAGCGGCGTGTTGAGGGAGTCCCTGGAGCCAGCGCTGCTGCCCTCTTGTCCTGCCTCTGGACACTGAAGTGGTGAGGGGGCCCTCCGGCCCGGACTCAGACAACTCTGCACTCCCCCGCCCCCAGGACCTCTGGCCCTGACGCCCCGGAAACTACATAAACCCCATTCCAGAAAACTCCATGGCAGACTGACCAAGCAGCTCGGGTCCCCCAGGGATCCGTGCTCTCTGAGGTCCGCCCCCAGGGACAAGGGCAGCCTCCCCACTCCTGCCTGGCCTGGGGGGAGCCAAGGGCCCCCCTGCAGACGCCCTTCTCCCCGGGGCCCGTGTGGGCAGCGTCCCCCGGTGCTGGCCGAGACGGGCGGGAAACAAGCCGGCCTTGTGGCTGGCCGGGCGCGAGATCCTATCACCCACGACAGGGTGCGGTGGGGGGAGGCTCGGGGCCTCCCCGGTGAATGGCGCCTTTGTGTGCTCCCTCCTGAGTCAGCTCAGGTCTGCGGGGAGAGAGGGAAGGACTCACCGCGATGAGCTGGACACAGTGGTCGGCGGAGGCGCCCTGCACGCACGCGAGTGGAGGCTGAAGACCAGCCTCCTGGAACGCTCGGCTCATGTCGCTGCATTTCTGCTGTTCAGGCTCTGACGTGGTACACCAGCGCACCTCCATGCTGCTAAGTGCTGGGGGGGTGGGGGGTGGTCAGGGCCTGGCCGGGACTCTCCAGCCCCCTGTCGTGTATGCTGACCCCCTGACCAGTCTGGGTCCCAGCTTCTTATCCCCCCTTCTCAGCAGCACCCCCTTACTGCCCCCAGCACGAGACTGTCCCACCGGGCAGGGCTGGGCTCCCTGGGGGAGTCCACAGGGCCAGGGAAGCTGCCCAGCTGCCCGCTAGCCCTGGAGGAGGCCTAGGATGCCGAGCACCAGCTCCGAGTCCCCGTGGCCCCCGGAGCCGGGAATTCTAGCCTCTCATCCAGCCTCCAGGGCGTGACAGGGCAAGGGGGAGCAGTTCTCTCGCCTCACACCCCCGGGAAGTGGACGGGTGGGGGACTTCAGATCCCCCTGCCTTGGCTTTATCCCCACCCTGCCCTGGGAAATTCCAGCTCCTGCTCTTCTCTCCAGATGGTGGCTCTGACTGGCCCCTTGGAGCCTGTTTGGTTATTTGAGAAAATAAGGGGGAGAACCCACCTTCTGTGCAGGGACACAGAATTCTAGTGGGACGCGTGGCCCCTGGCGTGGGCTAGCCCTCTGGTTGCAGGCTCAGGGGTCTCTCTGCCGGCTCCGGCCTGGGGTGTTTGATACCAGCCTGGTGCTTGGAAAGAGCCCATTCCCCACCCCAATGGCCGAGTCGCCCCACGCTGCCTGAGTCCCTTGGAGGAGGTGCGTCCTCTCCTTCATCTCTGCACCCTGCAGGACACCTTGTGGGGGTTCCCAGCGCTGTCCTTCTGAGAAAGCAGACCTCTCAGCCCCCAGGCCCTCCAGGACCAGCCTTGCACGCCTGTGCCTGTCAGAGCGCTCACTGCACCCCACCAACCCGGGAGACCTCCCTCCCACGCCAGGCTGGCCCACACTGCTTTTGGGCGCCTCCTTTTTGGTCAGCATCTCCAAGGCACAGCTCAAATGCTGCCTCCTACAAAAAGTCCTCCGGGCACCGAAGCATCCCAGTTCGCCCGTCCTCCTCCTGGCCCCGGGTTCGGGGTACAGGCCGGTGAGGAACTCCCCAAGGCTTTCCGGGTCCCGGTTCTGCTCCTCACCGGTGCGCAGAGCCAGGAGCAGGCAGAGAACGGTGCTGGGGCCCCGCATGGCGCAGGGGAGGCGGGCTGGGTCTGGGTCCGGGTCAGGATCCGGGTCAGGATCCGGGTCAGGATCCGGGTCCGGGTCCGGTGGGTCCGCAGCAGCCCGGGCTTTCTGCCTCCTTCCTCCCGGCACCCGCTACTTAAGGGAGCCTGGGGCGGGCTCCAGCGGGGTCCACGCCCCTCCGGCCACCGCCCACCCGGCCTGGACACCTGGGCTGACCCGGCTGGCCTTGTCCTGCCCTCTGGCGCCCCCTGCCGGAACCGCGGTCTCCGTGGGGCCCAGGGCAAGGGTGCCCAGTGCCCTCCTGCGCCTTCTCTTCCTCTGGACCGCCCCGGGCCGCCCCTACTCCCCCCGCCCCAGTGTCTGTCCCTCCCCGCACAGCGACCGCCCTTCCCTCTTCGTGTCCTTGCAAAGGCTCCGAGTACCGACCTCCAACTGCGGAGGCAGCCTCGCTGGGGGCAGCTACAATGGGGGGGAGGGGGGAGGGGGGGGTGTCGCACCGTCCTGGGGCCTGGAGAGAAACTCCAGAGTCGGAACTAGACCCTCCCACGCCGTGGGTTTGGTTCTGGGGCAGAGGAGGGTGGAGAATCACTCTTCCCAGATGGTCAGAGCAGCCCCTTTCCACCTGGTGGGGTGGACACATGGGGGACCTCAGCACACATCACTCTGTCACCCACTTTTTTTTTTTTTCTTTTTGGGTCACACCCAGCGATACTCAGGGATTCCTCCTGGCTCTGCACTCAGGAATCACTCCTGGTGGTGCTCTGGGGACCATATGGGATGTCAGGGATTGAATCTGGGTCTGCCACTGGCAAGGCAAACCGTCCTACCCGCTGTACTATTGCTCCAGCCCCCCACCCACGCATCTTTTGGGGGATGCTCAGGGGCTAAGCCCAGTGGTGGTGGGGGACCACATGGTATCTGGGATGAACCCAGCCCCACACATGCACCCTGGGTGCGTGCCTCTGCCCCCAATCAATCCTCTTATTGGCAGGCCTGGCGCATGGGTGTTGCAGGGCACAGGCCGAACTTGGTAGGTTCCAGGGCGCATGCATCTGGCCACCCAGCGCCGCCAGCAGGCTGACCCTTGGGTTTTGCTGTGCCCGGCAAGATGCCTAGGGAACAAGGGGCCAGAGTGATAATTGAGCGGGTAGGGCTCTTGCCTTGCAGAGGGGCTGTCCCAGGTTTGATACCCGGCACTCCGTAAGGCCTCCCAAGCCTGCCAGGAGTGAACCCTGAGTGCACAGCTAGGAGTAAGCCCTGAGCACTGCTGGCCGGTTGTGGTGCCACCCGCCCAAAAATAAAAACAAAAAAAAGCCTTGTCCACCAAGCCCATTTTCTCCCTTGAACACGTATCTTGCTTTCCTGTCTTAAGTTTCTTGGTTTGCTCGCTTTCTAAAAAGCCTGCATTCTTGCCTGCACACACATACACACATACACATGCATGCACGCGCACACACGCGCGCACACACACACACACACACACACACACACACACACACACATGCACGCACTCTGCTTGGAAAGAGTCACAGCTTTCTTAGACTAGCGCTGGAGTCTCCGAAAGTTCAGCAGCAAGGCCCAGGCTTCGCACCAGTCTCAAACCCAGGCTCCCCTCTTGAGGGTGTCTGATCCTCCTTGTCCACCTGCACCCTCAGGTGGTCAGAGGTCAGCTTCAGCTGGGACACTGCAGCCATGAGGACCGCGTCAGCTGGCGACAACCCCTCGTGGAGGCACCAGACGGCAGCAGACCAGCTGGCCCGAGTGAGTCAAGCGCCAGGGAGAAGGTGAGGAGCCAGGCAGCTCCCGCCTGGAACTGGGGGGGGGTGTCTTTCCCCAGAACGCCCTTTCCTCAGCTGTGATTCTTCAGGGAACCCCCCCACCCCGCCATATCTGGGCTCCGGTGATCTGTGCTAGGACCCTGGCCTTGGCACCAACACAGCTTTATAACATTTATCTTTAATTTATTCTTTGTTTGGAGCCAACCGTGGTGGTGCTCAGGGCTTGCTCCCGTCTCTGTGCTCAGAAGCACTCCTGGTGGGACTCTGGGGCTTTATGTGCAGTGACCAGGACTGAACAGAGGACAGCTGCGTGAACGCAGACGCCGTGACCCCCACACTGTCTCGCCAGCCCCTTTATAACTTTCCAAACAGAAAGCTTTTCATCAATACTTTACCTGTGTGTAACGTAGAAACCCCCTCGCTTTGAACCTTGGTCGGTCCTGCCCCTTTTGGGGTACAGATGCATTCGGGTGTGACAGAGCAATGGGTGAGACACAATGAAGGTGGCAGCAAAATCGAGCCCAGAAACAGCCTTTTTCAGGACCAGAAGCTCTGAGGAGAGTTTGGTCCTCAGTAAGAGCTCAGAGGGAGGTAAAAGAAGTGGGGGGGGGGGAGGAAGGAAGAGACAGGGAGAGACAGATGGAGAGAGAGAGAGAAGGAGAGGGGGAGAGAGAGAGGAGAAGAAGAGAGAGAGGGAGAGGGAGAGAGGGAGAGGAGAGGGAAAGGGGAAGAGAGGGAGAGAGAGGGAGAGAGAAAAGGAGGAGAGAGGAAGAGAGGGAGAAAGGAGAGGGGGAGAGAGAGAAGAGAGAGGGAGAGGGAGAGGGAGAGAGAGGGAGAGAGGGGGACAGGGAGAGGGAGAGAGAGAGGGAGAGAGTGAGAGAGAGGGAGAGAGGGAGAGACGGAGAGAGGGAGAGAGAGAACAGGAAAGGGAGAGAGGAAGAGAGGGAGGGGGGGAAAGAGAGGGAGGAGAAAGGGAAAGGGAGAGAGAGAGGGAGAGAGGAAGAGAGGGAGGGGGGAGAAAGAGAGGGAGGAGAAAGGGAAAGGGAGAGAGAGAGGGAGAGAGGAAGGGAGAGAGAGAGGGAGGGAGGGAGGGAGGGAGAGAGTATATACTACAGGTAGGAAAGGTAATACAGATTGATAGTATAGACAGCATAGCGAAGGGCACTTCCCTTGCATGCAGCTGATCTGGGTTCGATCCCTGGCACCCCATATAGAATCCTGAGCACCACCAGGAATGACCCTTGAGCAGAGCCAGGAATAAGTCCGGAGCACTGCTGAGTGTGCCCCCCAAACACAAACACAAAAGGACAAGAACTCATTTCATTCTCACTTCCGTGAGGTATTGGGGCTTTGGCAACACAATTTTGGGGTCCCTAGACCCTTCCACAAACTGCTGGCATACAACCCTGCTCCCTGAGGACACAGGGGCCCCCGGCTCCTCCTCAGGAAACTGAAGCAGCTGTGACAGAAGCTCTGGGTGGGAACATGTCACTCTCTCGAGGAGTGGCCAGTGGCCGGGCTGACAGAGGCCAGCCACAACGCAGCTCTCCTAGCAAACCCTGGGGAGGAGGCAAGCAGCCTGGGGGAGGGGTGGGGGGGGGTGAGAGAGAAAGACGCTCCCGGGGGGAACAGCTCATTGACTGCAAGCAGGGTCGGCCCCGTGTGCGGAAACACCAAACATCTTGGGGGGCCTTCCAGAACACACTTGCACAAAGAATGCTCTTGCATAAAGTATGAAGAAGGTGAGGTAGGATGTTTCTCCTTTTGGCTGGAGCCGCCTCCCCTGCCGTTGGTTTCCTGAGCTCACATTCACCGGAGAGGCCGGAGGGGACTGAGGGTAGAGGGGAGGGAGGAAGGGGGAAGGTTGCTGGGAGGGGAGCTGGGGGAGGGGCCGCCTACCACTTGCTCCGTTCAAGTCAAATCTGGGAGGGGGGCTCGATCCTCACCCCCACCTGCCGCTCAACTATGCCCCACTATGTGCTCCAGAGGAAGCCAGGGCTTGTGGGGGACAGGGAAGACGGACCTTGATGGAGGCGGGTAGAGAACCCACGTTGGCAGATGAGTCAGCACATACAGGTAACAGCTTCCTTTCCCCAGAATCTGCGGGAAATCCTTATTTTTCATGTCAGTCAACCAATGTTTTATATTCTTTGATTTCTACTTGCCGTAAAGTCTTTGTCTAAAAACGAATTCCGAAGGACACTCGGGAGTGGGGGGCAGATGCACCAATGGAGGGGGGGGGCACTTGCCACAGCCAGCGGGACCCCAGATGACCTCACACTCTTCTTCCCCCCCACCTGCGTCATCCCCCTCCCACCAGCTGACACCAGAATCATGTGTTGAGATGAAGGGGAAGGCACCAGGAGGTGTGGGGGTGGGGGAGAAGGTCTCGGTCCCTTCCTTTCCCCAAGGCATCTATGCTCAAGGCACGCTCCGTTCCCATGGGCCTGGGACAGCCTCTGGATGAGCTCAGGGCTTTTTCTTCAAATGCAGGCAAAGGACAGGGTTCCCAAGTGGGAGCTGTTAGGACCACCTGGGGAAGGGGAGATGGTTCAGTGCAGGCTGGAGGTTCGGGACCGCCTGGTCCCCCCAGCATTGCTGGGAGTGATCCCTGAGCAGGGAGAAATAAAGCTGAGGACAGCAGCTGGGGCGTCTGCACTGCAGCCAACTCAGGTTTGATCCCTGGTACCCCAGATGGTCCCCTGAGCTCTGCTGGGAGTGATCCCTGAGCACAGAGCCAGCAGGAAGCCCTGAGCATCGCCTGGTGTGGCCCTCAAACAAAACAAAGCAATGACCCAAAGCCTCAGAGCTTGGGATGAGGATGTCTGACCATGGTCAACCATGAGCATTTCCAGTGGCTTGACTGGAGTGCGACTTGGTGGCGGGTGGCCGCTCACCTCCTCCCATTCCCTGCGTGCAGCATCTGGGCAGGAAGGCAGCAGACTCATTAATAACACAGATGATCACAAGTGCATAAGGTGTGGGCAATGCCCCCTGTACCGTGGGGTGAGGGAAGGAAGAGGGGGAGGATTGTTTCAGAGGAGACCGAGGCAGACAATCAGAGCAGGAGGAGCCTCTGGAGGGAGCAGAAAACCTAAGCACCCACAAATAGCTAAAGCAATTCTTGGGAAAAAGAAAATGGGAGGAATCAACCTCCCTAACTTCAAACTCTACTACAAGGCAGTAATAATTAAAACAGCATGGTACTGGAACAAAAGCAGAGCT